AAAAGACTGCCAGTTTCTGAGTTAGTAGGATGAGGTCTGATAATATGCATTTCTAAGATCTTAGGTGAAACTTGATAATGCAGCGATCACACTTTGAAAATTACTAGATTAAAAAAAAATTGCAAAGCAAAACGAACTCAACTGTACTACAGCCATCAACTAATTGCGAAAATGCCACAGCCAACTTCATTTTAATAAAACATCATCTGTACACTAACAATTTTCACTAGTCATGTAGTCATGTAATTTTATTTCTGTTAGTTGATAAAACTGTTTTCATAATGATATTTAAAACTCAAAGTGTGCTGAGGCCTCCCTGGTGGCGTAGGTTAAGTCTCATTGTCATCACACTCTCACCACTGTGGCCTGAATTGGATCCCCAGCCAGGGAGCTGATCCACACATGGCACAGACGATCTCTCCTGTCTTGCATGCTGTTTCCCTTAGCAGTGTATTTCAGTAGATGCGCCTATTCTGCTCCCCACTCTGTTTCTAATGAATTACCTCCTGTACCTCTGGCCAATATCCCAATTTTTCTATGCATAAATAAGTCAAAATGTCTTTTGAAAACAACCCTCAAGTATAAAGAACATTAGAAAGAAACAACTCAAGGTAAGACCAGGATCTATGAATCTTTTTTCCTTTAAAAGGGGCTCTGTCAAAGTTGAAAATACTAGTTTAACCAATTCTATGAATCTTTTTTCCTTTAAAAGGGGCTCTGTCAAAGTTGAAAATACTAGTTTAACCAATTCTGCCCAAGAATTTGGCATAGTTCGGTTTTACTTTATAGAAAATAAAATGATTTATAAGCTGGAGTGCTTTCTGCTCTCACAAAAAAAGTAACTTGGAATATACACAACTCAAAACATAGCCACTGAATCACCAAAATCTCTATACTGAATAAAGAAAATGCCACGGGGTCTCACCATTGCTGCTGGTTTTTGCATTCTTTGCTAGTTGTGCACGAGTAGCAGCAATCAAACTGTCATGGGCCAATTCCTGAACCCGGAGGAACCACGGAATGCTGCTGTCAGTGTTCTCACTGGAAAGGAAGTCATTCCCTGAATCCTCTGCTTCATCTTGTACAAATACTAAGTGCTCAGCTGAAGAGCCCAGACCTGTAAGAAACAAGAAGATATATGAAAGTTAGTCATCAAATAATCTTTTTATTGGTACCAGCTCAGAAACTGTCCTAAATTAGCTATTCCAGATCTCACTTCAAGTTTCTGCTCTAATGTAAGAGAAATCATCATCATGCCACTTGTAGTCTACAAGCTTGTCTTTATCTTACTTCCTCCTGTTTCAGAGGCAAAGCTGTCTTCCTAGCAACTAGATTAACCCTCACCTCTTGAATCCCAATTCCATCCTTCAGATATTCCCTCTTTACCATTTGCAATCCATTCTTCTCTCTTGGTCAGCTTACAGCCAACCTCACAGTCTCTTGATCTGTCCAAGTTCAAGTCTCTCCCATGTTTATTTTTAAAAAGAATAGAAAAGCATAGGTACATCTCTAGCTATCATCTTTCCAACTGTTCCTTCAAAGTCAAGTTTCTTTAACAAATGTAGCTTCTAACTTGCACATTCACTGTCACATCTGCCATTCATTCTCCATCTCTGACCTTTATCTTTACTATCTCAATGATTTTGCCTTAAGGTAACCAGATATACACTTCTTAGTACTCATTTCACAATTCACTCAAGTATTTGGCATAATTCAGTACATTTTCTTTAAATTGTTTTCCTCCTTTGGTGTCCCACACACCACTCTCATTCTTTTCTCTTCACCCCTCTTTAGCTTTTTTCCCCCATTCTATGTTACCCTCTTAACTCGCTTATTTTATTTTTTAGATTGCCTTCATTTCTGTTTATGCAAGAGTCAAAGAATACAAGCTCACTGTTCCACACATTTCCAATATCAACTATTTATTTCACACCAGACCCCTCTAGATTCCTATTTCTAATTCTTGAAAGGATCCTCTAAAATCTCAATATCAATAGGCACAATTGGAACTAATCATCCTCCCCAAACCCTGTTCTTTTGCTATCTTGGTGACTAGCACCACATAATTTCCCACACAAGAAGCCTATCCCAGAGCCCACACTACACATTCAACTGGTCAATGGACTACAGCAATTTTTCAAAACAATAAAACTGTAACAATTCTTCCATTTTAAACATAACTAAGTTTAATGTGCTCCACCCCCATTTCTTCCTCAAGCCTGAGCAGAGTTCATAAAAGTTTATTAAAGAATACCTGCTCTTGTTAGATTAAGAAGAATAAAAGAAGTGCTATCACTTGGCTGTAGATCTTGCAACAAACTAGGAGACTCTGGAGTGGACAGAAACTCCGGGGACTTCTGTACAGTCTGAGCCCTTGTCTCCTCTCCATCTGGGCCCACATTCACCTGCAGGCTTCTCAATACAGCCGAGGAAGGGACCTCCTTGGAAGAGTTAGTGTGATTTGGAGTATCATCTGGTAAAGAAAAAATACCACCGCTTTATGCAGCACTTATCTCCAAGTAGTTCGCCATTTTGACACATAGCATCTAATAACCTTGTAACCTTTCCTAGTATGCGTAGATAGCATTTTCATTTTATAAATACAATAATACCTCAGAAAAGAACACAGAGACGGTTTTAAGTTTTTAAGGGACTCAGTCAAAATTTGAGTGACTGTTTCCTCTTTCTTGGTAGTAACAAATTAACCAACCACACTCATCTGGATACTATAGATCTTTGTCTTTAGGGACCAAAAATCAGCTCTTTTCCTTTGAAAAATACAGTTGCATTCATAATTAGTGAATACTAATTTAAGAATAAGAACTAAGGTTTAAATTATTTTTCTTGGGAAGAAAGCCTACCTTCAGTTTTTGTAATATGTATTAGGCAATTCTGGTGAGTTATTATGGGGGAAAAAAAACACTGTCTGAAAGATAACTGAAATTATATAGAATTATCAATGTTTCATTATAGTTCTAGGTTTACACTGGAAGTAAAAAAATACAAGACTTGCTCTCCAGAATTTTATTCTAAGGGAGAGGATGAATTTCCAAGTTTTGAATGCAGTCTAACGAAGAACTGCATGACAACACTAAAGCAGACAATGTTTTCAGGTGTTTCTTTCATCTCTGTAAAAAGCATATAACATTTCTTCCTCTTTTAATCAGATTAACACTTAGTATTAAAAGTAGAAGTCTAGGGACGGTACTGATATTTCAAAACTCAGTGAAGTTGTACAACAGTATAAATATACTGATGTCACAGAACTGATTGAACAGTAAATTTTATCTTATATATATAAAATCTACCACCAAATTTTTTAAATCAAGTTCTAAGTCGTGGGCCCTCCCTGGTGGTGCAACAGGTTAAAGTATAGTACTATGAAGCTAGCCGCAGCCACTTCAGCTCTTGAGTTTGATCTCCAGCCAGGAAGGTGACCCCACATGACACAACAGACCTCTCCTGTCTTGCCCATTACTCCCCTCAGTCTACCTGTTCTGCTCCCCACTCTGTCTCTAGTGAATCCTCTCATCTCCACCCCAAACCTCTACCCTGTACCCCAGCTCTGTATGCATAAATAACTTTAAAAAAAAAAAAGTTTGTAAGTAGCAGTTTGTCATCATGTAACATTGGAAAAGATTAAGAAATTTGTGGTACATTCATGTAACATAATACTATATAGCAATGAAATTAAATCAACATACACAAGGATAAATCTCACAATTACAGAGTGTGAGAGGAGATACAAATAATACTTTGATATGATTACACTCATTTAAATTCTACAAACAGCTAAAACTAAGTTGCACTGCTTACAGATGCATAAATGGGTAGTTCACTTGGAAAAACAATAATAGCTCACAACAGTGAGGATGGCAGTGACCACAGAAGAATGAAGATTAGTCATCATCAAGGAAGAACTCACAGAGGGCGTAGGAACAGGCAACACACTCCTTCTTGAGTGTGGTATGTTTATCCTTTACATTAATTCTTTAAATGTATATCCATATGATTTTGTACTTTTCTGCACAGTATACCCCAATTAAAAAGAAAATATGCAGGCCATGCATGAAAATGACACATACATATTTAGGAAGAAGAAAAATGAGGTTTGGGAGATCTGAGCATATAGATTTGTATTTGTAATATGTTTCATGAGCTGGGAGATAAATACACAGGTTTTCATTAATAATACCTATAATTGATCATCTAAAATATATTTTTTTAAAGATTTATTTATTTATTTGTACATACAGAACTGGGGTACAGGCCAGAGGTGCAGGGGCGGTGAGAGGCTTCACCAGAGACAGAGTGGGGAGCAGAACAGGCAGATCGACGAAGTACACTGCTGAGGGGAGCAGCGGGCAGGTCAGGAGAGGTCTGCCAAGCCATGTGGTCTCCTCCGGGGCAGGTGGGAATCAAACTCATGCGGAAGCGCCTTTAGATTCTCAGTACAGTGCTTTAACCCACTGCGCCACCAGGGAGGGCCTAAAATATTTTAAATCAAAGTTAAAACTAGGGCTTTCCTGCCTTATCCAGTTCTCTGAATAGCAAGTTTAGAGTATGTGGCAGGCTTATCCTTTAGAGTAATTCTTTAACTGCATATCCATATGATTTTGGCCTTGGCCTTCTTTTCTTTTCACTCACACGCTACAGTATTTATCCTATCAAAGTCGTCATAATTCCCATGTTGCTTTTTCTTCCTGATTCCTAATCATCTAACAATGATGAAATCAGTTACCCATTCCACCAGTATCACAAGAGTATGAAAAACACTTAGGATTCATTTATCTTTGGTGATTTTAATTTTTACCTGGTAACATTAGCCGACTGCATTCTGAGGCCTCAGTCACTGGAAGGAGGGACAAGCAAGTAATGTCTTTAGCTTCGGATTCTACAAGTCCTTGTCCCAGTGGGATAGATGTATTCTGAACAAATTGTACCAGGAGCTGGGAGGAAAAGTGGGAGAGAGGGTAAGGCAACACTGTAAATTACAGGTTGTTAGGAATGGCTCAAAGCCTCTGAATTCACCAACCATAATTTAATTACGGCTTCACTGTTCACTAGTTTCAACCACATTTACAGAAAAACTAGATTAATTACAAAATAATATTTAAAGATATTTTTAATCCTCACTGTAACTCAGTATAATTGAAAATGTATTGTCTAAGGTCACATGGCTCATTAGAAGACATCTCAGTCTTCTACCTTATATAATATGATTCTACTACTTTTCCACTACTCAATAAAGATGTACTAAAATTAAAATAAGAAAAATAAATAAGTGTTAAATCCTTAAACCCATTTAGAAAGAAAATGCTTTCAGTTAGATAGAAATGAGCATGTCACTAAATGTTTACACACATATATACAATAAAATCTGTCTATATGAAATTACCTAGATGTACAATGTATCATTTTTACACTTACTAAAGAGCCTACAAATCCTAAATATTTACCATCAGACTGATTACAGAAAAAATATGCTGACACCCAAACTAAAGACAAACTTGCAATACAAACCTACTAACAGAAAAGGCAACAAGCTGACTGGGCTCACCTCTGGTTTGGATTCTAACTCATCTGATAACATTGATTCAGCTTCCAAATCTTGTAGCTGTTCAGGGTACAGGTTAAAAGTTTAATTCAGGGTCAGTAACACCTTCCTGTTATGTTCATATTCCTCTAGGAAATTCTATGGTTTCTCTAAAAGATGTTTGCTTGATGGGTAATCAATTTAGCCTAAAATAGGAAAAAAGAGAGAACTGACAGCAGAGAAAAAAAATGTAGCTAAACATAGCCATTTCTTTACATATCACACCAAACAAGCGAATATTCAGCCCAAAACATTTGTTTTAAAAATAAAATATGGGCCCTCCCTGGTGGCGCAGCAGGTTAAAGCATAGCACTAAGAAGCTTAAGCCACTTCCTCATGAGTTTGATCCCCACCTGCCCTGGAGGAGATCCACATGGCTTGGCAGACCTCTCCTGACCCACCCGCTGCTCCCCTCAGCAGTGTACTTCACTTCATCGATCTGCCTGTTCTGTTCCCCACTCTGTCCCTGGTGAATCCTCTCACCCTCTGCATCTCTGGCCTGTACCCCAGTTCTATATGAATAAATCTTAAAAAAAAAAAAAAAAACTAAAAAGTAAAAATAAAACAAATCCTATAGGTATCAAATCTCATAGAAAGTTATACTTTGATACAGAATTTCCACTTTTAATAATCTAGTCTAAGAAAAGAATCTTAAGACTAACAAACATTTGGTAATTTCTTAGCTTCTTGAGATAAGCTGGAATTGGGGAAAAGAAATTCTTAAAATTGGTGATTCAGGATCAATTTTGAGGGACTTAATCACTCTTCCTGGAAATTGTTCATGCCAGCTTTTTATGCCAACCTGGTGGGAGTCCTGACTCTGCAACTTAATTTTATTGAAACACCTCAATAAAATGGTTTAATTTCTTCCCCTCTTCCCCCCACCCCCCAAAAATAACAAAGAAGAAAAAACAAGCTAGATAACTATTTACTATCTTTTACATTTGCTATATTCCTTAGAAATTAATGGTGCTAGCTTCAGGGAGAAGTGCCTGTTATTCTTACCTAACGAAAAACAGCAAAAAAACAAACCATATGATTATGTGCACTGAAAAAGGGAAAAATCAGATATACAAGATCTCCGATATTTTTGCAAAGCTGTAATAACAACTTAGAAGTGAGAGTGTCATCTCTCATAATTTAAGAGCTACCTCTTAAATTATTAAGTATTCATGGTTATCATCTATGAAATCTTTTAGTGATAACCTTAAAATCAACAAAAGCATTTCCTAGAATAAATGAGAATCTCTGTTTTAGCTGAATACTGCCATCCAAATTTGCTACCCAAATTTGTGATTTTTATGTGTGCTACATGAATGAGAATAGTAAGAAGTAGAATAGGCAGGTTGATATCAAAACACTACTGAGGCACATTCAGTGCCATATCAACAAGTGTGCTGTGTAGATCTCATCTTAAACTCATCATACAGAAGTATGATGACAAACAGCAATTAAATTTTTTTGTATTCAAACTCCAGTGACCCATTTAACAGATTTCAAAAACTGCAATGCAGGCCCTCCCAGGTGGCG